CCAAGAAGAAAAAGTCAAAAGTTAATAAAAAGTCTTGCATTAATAACTTTAAGATAAAGGCTTCTAGACATAATGTCCCTTTCTACACAGAAATATAATAATCCATACAACCTTCACATGTGATCATCATTTCCTGTGCACAAGGAAACTAGTTTTAAAATCTATAAATGAGTCAGCCTGAAGGTGTAGGACATTTAACTATTTATTTGTTGATAACTGGCCCAGTATTACTCTTTAAAAATGTATTGTCCAACTTGCTGCAAGTTTTTATTAGTGTGATTTGTTTTATGTGGAGGTTGATGTATCTGATCAACTGAAGCTTTCCTGACCTAACATACTGTCATGTTTGACTCGCCATAGTAGGAAAAGCATAGTTGTTATTAATAACATTAACAATAGCTCTGAAGCGTTCCTGTGATATCACATTCAAAAGAACGTGAGGTCTCCATGACCTTCAACTTTGACCTTTGCCCAAAAAATTTAAATCAGTTCATTTTTGAGTCCAAGAGAATGTTTGGCCAAATCTAAAGAAATCCCCACAAGGCGGTCTCGAGATACCACATTCAAGAGGCCAAAAACAGCTTTTGTTTTACTGAGATATCACAGGCATGAGAATGTGTCATACGGACGGACATGGGGGCGGAAAAATACTAAGCTCTTACATTCAGCATGTTCTTCCAGCCATTGGTTTTGCCATTTAACAGCGACTCTGGATGAGCCAGGCCAGCATTGTTGATGCACACATCCACACCTCTGTGCTGCGCTTTGATAGCAGAGAACATGGACATGATCTCCTCCTCGTTGCTCAAATCACACTTGAAAGGCACCAACACACCACTGTGGCCTGCGGTTTGACACTCCGCTGCCAGTTTCTGAAATCAAAACCAAAAAGATGTCAGACCATCAGCTTTATAATCACATTTGTGAAGTTGGCATCATTAACAATTACTATATCAATAGTAATGTATTAATCTGGCAATCATTCTCAATTAATCAATCAACTGTTAAGTCTATAAAATGTCAGAAAAATGTCAGAAAATACAAAAAAATTATATCTATCTCTGCAGTCTAAAGATAATCATGTTCTCATCATTTTATATCAATTTATAAAGATAAAAAACAGAGAAAAGCATAACATTTTAATATTTCAGAAGCCGAAAATAGCAATTAATCGATTAACAAAATAGCAGTCAATTACTTTTTCTGATAATCAACAAATTGATTAATTGACTACTTTTAAATAGGTTTAATAAAGGTGTTTTTAGTTGTTCACACAAGCCACCCAAACTCCCATTCAGAGGTTTTAGTTTGACGTGAACAAAAATACTGTAAATGTGTTAATCAAGGAAAAACTTTACACCAGATCTGAAGAAAAGGTGATGGAGTGATGTGACTTTTAGAGTCCTTAATCTGGGAGCTAAACTAATTATTACTTTTTTCCAGATATGTAAAAGGAAATGCAATGTAATGTGTAATATAAACTGTTGATGTTAACTCTGCAGAATTTAATACAAGTTAAATCCCAAGAAACTGCTCCAATGAGGTGGTAAGCCACTCAGGTCTTGGTACAATTCATCTCTTGATGTTTTTAGATAGAAATGGAGAACCTAAACAATGGGCACATTCACTCAATTTTCTGTGTAGAACATCATCCCTGCCTCTTTTCTTTTAAAGGTTAATGTTTTGTTTCATAAAACCTGTATGATGTTATTGGAGGTAGTCTTTGTTTCAGGCAAGGTGGCTCAGCTCTGCTATAAAATACTGCAGTAAACCCTGAACTACAGGTTTCTCAATAGAAAAAATATCTTCGTCACTGTGACAAGTTAACAGCAAAGTCTGACACACAAGAGACGTTATTTTTTATGAGGGTTTGTTTTTACAGGAAACTAAAGTTTAACCAGAGATCATGAGACAAATTCCAAAAAAAAAATAAAAAAAGTATAGGCTACCACTCATCCTGTGTGGCTTACATAAGACTGACACAGCTGAAAATTATTTGTATAACTCAGATCATTTAGAAGTCCATATTTGTTTTGTGCAGCCTCCAAAAAATCTTCAACATGAACTTTAGTTAACTTTTGATCTTGGTTAATTTATAAGCCATTACAAGTCTGCTTTGGAAAAGTTACGTATGCAAGTATGAACAAAAAAGTATCTGAAATTATTATTCTGTAGAGAAAAGTGTCCCATGTGACTGTTATACTTTTATATCATTATTGTCTAAGCATTTTAGTGTTGTGGCTGGTAGAGAATGAGGTGGAGCGGATTTATAAACTATTTTGAAAAGGACTACAACTAATTATTTTCCTTATGGATAATGTTTTGATAATCTTCTTGTTATCGTTGTAAACTTTAAGGAAATAGTGTTTGTTTAGTCCAACCAATAGTCTTCATTTTTAAAACACGATTACAGTTGTTAAAAAAAAAAAGGTAAAGTAGCTGTCTGGAAACAAACAAAGTGTATTTTCATTTATTTAACTCTAAAGCAAATACGCCCTGCAACAGTTAGCTACTTTCACTCAACGTTATCTTACTTTCACTTTTCACTGGTTTCCATTGACAAGGACATTTAGCTCCTAGCTAGCTAAGTTACAGCTGGCGTTACATCGGTTTGTTCTAAAGTTTGATAGCTATTCCTTTATTTCCCCAAAGTGCAGAAATACACTTTTAATTTCACAGCAAACCTGTATTTTCTCGACGTCCCTGGCACAGCCCACCACTTTCATACCGTTCCGGACCAGCTCACTAGATATCGCAGCACCGATCCCGACCGAGGCACCGGTCACCAGAGCCACTCTGCCTCTCCAGCGGTCCATCACAGCCACCGACACACCGGTAACCTGCTTTAAGATACAAAACCACACAGTAACGATGAGAGCGACAAAGAGTTTGGCTGCACAGCGTATTACTCGACGTCCTACAGTCGGGTAGTAATGAACGCTGCACGGTGAAGGCGGTTCAGTTTCTCTAACGTCCAATGAAGTCACTGTGCTGCGTTCAAGACAACAACCAACTGTAAGATTTCACATAAACGCGTACTTCGGGGGAAGAGATCACTAAGCAGGCAAGACGATGAAACAACTATAAGACTTTGAGTAGGTCGAACGAATAAACATTGAAGAGTTCCCGCAAACTATCTCACTTATTGCTGTAATATTTATTTATTTACAGAGACACAAAATGATTACAAACAATGCAATATTTTTATACGTTTGGAGTTTCTTTCTGGTGGTTTTGTGTGTCCCATATTACTTTTTGTTTGTTTAGTTTTATTGTTGTTTGTTTGTTTTGCATGTATTTCTGGTTCTTTCATGTCTATTTTTCATAACTGGTAGTTTTGTGTCTCTTTATGGTAATTTTGTGTTTCTTTTTGGTTGTTTTGTGTTTCTTCATAATCATCTCTTCCATCTCTTTCCAGTAGTCTTTCCAGTCATTTTGACTCTTTTTAAATTTATTTATTTTTGTCTTTTTGGAGTCCTTTTGTGTCTCCTTTTTTTTTCCAGGTCTTTTTTAGTAATTTTGGGTCTCTCTGTAGTTGTTTTAGGTCTCTCAGTAGTCATTATGTATCTCTGTGGTAATTTATGTCTTAAAACCGAGCTCTATGACATTCAAGCAAGAAATATTAAGGCAATGCATAGAGAGGCTCTAGCCTGGGGCCCCTTTGACCTCTTGGACACTGGGTCAGCTGGTACAGTAATCCATCCATGCCTTCATCAGGAGCCACAAAAGTTGCATATACACAGAGCCAGAGTTATGAAGCATCTTGAGTGATGATGATCTGTGCAACATCCATATCACACCACATTATCCAAGACAATCTGGCCTATCAAAAATAGAAAGGTTAAAAATAGACAGTTGGTAAATATCAGCACTAGTGTCAGTTATATATAAAGATATTAAAAAACATTTAAGATTAATGAGGATCCTCTTAATATCACAAATCCAAAAAAAGAAAACACACTGTCCAAACAATATTAACCCTCTCATACTCTAATTCAGCACCCATACTTCTACATTGTTAACCGCTGCTCACAGTCATATTTATATACAGTATATTGCTCAGTGTCCTTGAGTCTGGTGAAGCGCCCTGGAGTCGGGCATTAAACATATCTTTCTCAAAAACTAAAAACTCTTAATAAGCATGCCTGTAGTATGCCCATATCTACTCATTATACTGAACTGTCTCTGTGTTATTTTATTATATTATTGGATCATTAATAATTGTGTTTAATTACTTTAATGTTGTAGTTGGTCGAGTTGGAGATCATTTTTACTATTTTATATACTGTTGGGTAGTTTCATCTATAACAATGCATAGACTTTTATGAAATAATCATATGTTGAGTATGTCAAACCTTAATCTGAGAAGAAACAAGTAACTTTATCTCTGAGTGAAAATTTCAGTGCAGTAGAGTAGAAACATGAAGTTTCATACAATGGAAATACTCAAGTAAAGTAAAAGTGTCTCAAAATGTATGGGTGATCAGTGAACATACTAAGTTACTTTCTACCACTGAGCAATACCAGAAATAGTCATACATGTAGCCTGGCAGTATTAGTCTTAAAAGCAGTAGCAATAGAATTCCATAAAGTAATTGTACATGACAATCGTCTGTCATTAACAAATCATTAAATCCATTTTGCACCTGAATCACTTTACAGTATCTGATCTGGTGGTGATTTTTCTGGTCAAATTGCATCATTTACGCTGTGTGTTTCAAGGTCAACTCTGTGAATAAGGGTCCATTCATTATCTTGACAATATGAGTCGTCAGATATCAGCATTTGCTATGTATCAGTGGTCACAAAAATCAGGGGTCATAAAACTGAAGCCTGTGGTGTGGGCGGGATTGATAGGTGGGCCTACCTGTCTTATAACAGGCTGGTTGAACTCTTTTTCATCTTCTAATCAAACGTTCCGAGCAGACAGACTGGACTCCGACAGATGCAGTAGATTTACAATGCTGCTTGCACGTGTTTTAGTTTTGTTTGCATCATCCATGAAGATTGTCTCAGGTGCAGGTATGTTCTATAAGGAATAAAAAAAATAATTAAAATTCTGCAAAATTAGACAAATTAAAAAAAAAAAAAGAATGTAGCAGTGCACAGGCATTTTTTGGATTTGCAGTGTTTTATTTGGAAATAAGTTCTGAATATAATATTATTCAACTAATGGCAACAGTGTTGTGACAGTGAAGAATTTCTAATTTTCTTTCTCATAATCTGCTGTTGATCTAGGTTGGTGCTACCAGTCCCAAGTTACATGTAATCATACGTGCACAGGTAAAACTCCAGACAAGCCACTGACATTAAGAGTATAAATAAAAGATAATATGCAGTAGTAATGTTACCTGTTTTCCATCCTCTCGCCTTCACAGGTCCAGAAACATGGGAAGTGGTTTCCCAGCACTGCAGCGGCAGATATCAGTCTCCTGTTAATATTGTTACGAGGCGAATGCTACCAGATGAACGTCTCACTTCTTTTCACTTGACTGGCTATCAAGAGACTTTTCATGGTCGCCTCATGAACAATGGTCACACTGGTATGTCTTATGTGATAACTGAAGTTTTAATTGAAATTTGCTAATTTGATAAAAACACAATAAGTCAGTGTGCATCTCCGTGATTTAAATCAGCTGGACTAATATAAACTATATAAAATAGTCATAAGGTGATTATCTAATTTTCTTTTTTTTTATTATTATTATTGATTATATTTTGGCTCTGTTTTAACTTTATTTCCTCTTTCCTAACTGTAGCTTGAGAAATTTTAACAAAGCAATTTGCCCTGCAGGGATCAATAAAGTTTCTGACTCTGATTAAACCACTGGGATAATGGTGTTATATGGTAGGCAGTAAAGTAGATAATTAGCTAAAGAAAAAAGGTTCTGCGGGCGTTTGTTGTCTGGTATGATAAAAATGACCTACTGGGCACAGACCAGGCATCCCAAGGGGTTGGGGGCCCCTGGACTTCACCTGCAAAATGTCACTGAAAGAAAAGAAAACGACTATGATGAGATACAAACCAACCACAAACAAATGCAGAGGACCACAAAAATTACTAAAAATAGATACTAAAAGACCACAAAGAGACACAGAATAACCACAAAGAGATGCAAAATGACCAGGATGAGATGCAAAGTGACTCAAAATAGTCACAGTGTTGTGCGTCTCTTTGAGTTTGGGTGTCTTGCTCCGTTAAAGGATGTGTGGGTGGCTTTTTACATGTCTGTGCCCTGGGGCCGGTTGTCTCATAATACGTCCATGTTTGTAATTGCCAACAGTGGTTTCTCCATGAACCATTTTTTATGATCTCTTTTGCCTGATTTAAATGATTATTTTTTTCTAGTTCAACTGGATTTGCCCTCCAGTATAAGGATCAACGGGGGAAATCTGCCTGCATCATACAAGGGGCTTCAAGTTCACCTGCACTGGGGCAAAGCTGGAGGGCCAGGGTCTGAACACACCATTGACGGAGAACAATTTCCAATGGAGGTATGAAATACAGGGATAGAAGTGTGTTATAATCAGCAATGCGTATGATGAAGCCATTTTGTGTGTACTGTATTAAAACCAATTAAGAATGAATTATTATTGTAGCTAAAAAAAACAATAATAACGTTAACACAATACTTTATGCCACCTACAGATGCATATTGTTCACATAAAAGAAGAATACGACTCTTTAGCCCAGGCTGGAAAAGACCGCACTGGTGTGGCTGTTCTTGGATTTTTCTTTCAGGTGATTATATTTTATTATCTTGTAACAAAAAAAATGTTGATATGAGAAAGATAAAAAGAGAAGAAATATGAACAGTCCAATATGAAAAAAATAAGAATTTGAAGGTATGCACACTGAATCTTTGAAAAGAAACCAAATTACATTTTCTTCTGATTCGATATTTGTTGTTTTGGATTTCTTCTAATGAAAATGTAGTAGGGGCGGGCCATAGTAGGTTCAGTAATTGCAAAGAATGTCATAGATTCTAGATTTATTCCTGAAGACTTTTGGGACAGGGGAGTAGGACGTTACACTTATGAAGGAAAGATGGAGGATTATATCAGTATATCTGTTGGCATGAAGATAGAGCTTTGCTGAATGGAGTTGATTGACTTCTTACTGCATTTTTCCAGAGATGCCATCAACAATGGCACCTATTTTGTCAATATTTAAAAAAAAAACTAATTAATGGCCCAAGAATTGTGCCTTGAGTTACACCAAAGAATAAATAAACAAAGTCATCAGCAGCCATCAGTTAACAAGGAGCTTTTCAATGAGCAGTTATAATGTTGTGATAAGAAAAAATGAATTTTTTTTTTGGAAAAAATATTCTTGTAACCTTTGCAGAAGTCACAGACAGCAATAAAACTTTTACAAGGTTAGTGTTTAAAACCAAATGCAGTATATTCCATTATATTGCCTAAAAAGTATTAAAGGTTTAGGACATAAGTCCTTCAATATACTAAAGTATTGCTCCAACATGTTTCTGTTACCGTCTCTGTCATCAGGAAACACAAAGCATCGATTTACCAGCCAAAACCTCGTGCATATTTCCAGGGACTCAATGAAAAGCCCTTTACCATTTAACCATCTGTTTGAACCAAATCATCTACTTGAAACTCGAAATTTGAACATTTTATTCTCTTATTTCAGGAGTCTGCGTCCGCAAATAAGAAATTTGATCCACTCATAAATGCTCTGAAATACATCCCACAACCAAGTAAGTCATGTCTGCTGATAGAAAAAGAAGATAATGGTGCTTCATTATCTTTAATGTGCCACATTGTCCTAAATGTGCTGCTGATCGTTCTGGTGTTAGGCTAAAGTGCAATTGTTAGGTGATAACACGGTGTCATAAAAAACAATTCTTACATCCCAACAGTAAATCAATTAAAACGATTAAACTGTAACCTTGGACTTATTTGTTGTCTAATACTAGATTTCTTGCTTACTTCATTGTCTTGTTAATGTTTTATAAAAAACCAGCCAACAGCACCGAACTCAAGGGTGTGTCCCTGGACATGTTCATTCTTCCCTACAACAACATGACCAAGTACTTTCGCTATGACGGCTCCCTCACAACACCCAACTGTGCTGAAGCTGTTGTCTGGAGCCTGTTTGAAAATGCTATTCCTCTCAGCAAGAAACAGGTAATTATGTTCAAAATATATTATAGTAGTTTACACTTACTGAAATATTATAAGCCAAACAGGTGGTGGTACCTTACTTTAGCAGTTTGATAAAACAACAATAAAACAACAAAAATAATTAAATAAAATGAAATAAATTTAAATTCATTTAAAAGCAGGGAAAGATGTAGCAAGTTTGGGGACCTGGATTGGAAAAGCATGATAGCCTTTAGTCACCAATCATGCTCTGGGAACATGATCCAGAAGGCCACTATCAGCTGATCTAAGAGCCCAGGCTCTTATGAGTTACTAAATCCTTGACATACATAGGGGCCTGGTTGTGTAAAGTCTTAGAAGTCAACATTCAAATTTTAAAATTGAAACAAAAACTAATAGGATGCCAATGCAGGAAGGCCAGAATGGGTGTTAAACGATCACGTTTTCTTGAAGTACGGATAATTAGCAGCAACATTTTGGACCAATTGAAGGAAATGTACAGAAGCCTGAGTAATACATGTATATTAGGCATTACCAAAAGCTATCTGTGAAAAAATAAAGGCATGCACAACCACCTGTAAATCCTCAGAGGATAGAAAAAGATTTCATCTTTGAAAATAACTTAAATTGGAGGAAGCTGGACTGAACAAAACTTCTTTACTTGGCCATCAAAACAAAGGGCAGAATCCAATACATTACCCAAATTACTTGCAGCTGTTTTGATATCATTTAATAGTGCTCCCGGGTTGCTGGCTATCTGACTGAAAGAAATTAATGTGACGAACCACAGAATTTCTATTTTGTCATCATTAAGTTTGCAGATGTTTTGGGAAATTCAGCAATTTAAATCAGAGAGGCAGTCTGTAAATGTGGTTAGGCTGCTAGGATTAACGGGATGTACAACTGGGTGTCATTGGTGATACTGTAGATTATGTTTACTAATGACATAATAAACTAATAATATGTTTTTACCCCACAAATGCATCTGACAGCTGTACTTCACAATGCACATTCAGATTTTACATTTACAAGTTTCCTTCAGCTGCTCTGAAAGCAAGATAACAGCCCCAAACTGGAAGGTTTTCATGGGGATTTTTATTTCTGAAGCTTTGGAGATTTCTGTTATTGCTGCATTAGCATGTATCAACTCATGTTAATCATGAGGAACAGTTTTTACTTTGAACAACTGATCACATTTTACTGCTGTTACTTTTGGGATTCTTTTACTTAGAGCAACTAAAACTGATATTTTTACAATAAGAATGTATTAAATAACAATGCAAAAGCAATGTTACATTGTGAAAGGGATTGCTTGCAGTGATAACCCTACAAAGAAATTATCTATCTCCCTTTCTGATAAGGCACCATAAATATATACTGTATGTAAATGGTTTATAAGATATAGTTAATGGATTTATAAATGGTCAATGTTTAATTTAATGCGAACAACTTTTGGGTTACCAGACTGGGGAAAGTGTGTGTTTGTACCTTAAAAAAATAGCAGTTTATAAACAGAAAGTGGTCCAGATGTCCTGCAGCAAAGATAAGTGGTCAAACAGTTCATTGGAGAGGTCTAACTAATAAATGGAAGAGCTGAAAAGACTGTAAATCTTGTTTACTTGCAACCGTTTTCAGCAAAAAGCCTTAAAAAAGACTTTACTATTTGGATCTTTGGTTGAAACATGCTACACTGTGTACACCTGCTTTTAACTGTGTGTATTTGCTGTTTTGGGCTGGGTAGTGTAGTGTACATTTTTCTTTTTTCTTTTTTTTTTTTTTTTTTTTTTAAACGTCTTTGCAGAAAACAGCTGCCTCTTGGAAAAAGACACTGATGAGAACTGTGAGACCGAACAAAGGAGTAAAGTTCCAGGCTGCAAAAACCAAAAACATTAGCTTAAAGATGCTAAAATGCTTCATAGGGTTGAGGGAAACTGCAGTTTGGTGATAGAGTTTATTTAAATTTTATACTATATGTTGGAATTTAACGAGTTTCTTGATATAAAAATACTGATTAGAGAAACCTCAATTAATTAATTTGAGTAGCAGCTTGTGTATGTATAGAATTTGCCTCTTTATTACTCTGCCGAGTACATTTTTACCTGTTTGCGGTGATTTCATTTTTGTTACAGCTCGCTGCATTTTCCCAGCTTCAGTTCCCTAATGGACAACAGATGGTCAGAACTTACAGACCACTGCAGCCACTGAATGGGAGGCAGGTGTATTACTCCGGAGGCCACGCTGCTGCGGCTAGCATCGTGCTACTCATTATGTCAGTGCTTGTGTCCAGTGCACTCAGCATGAAAGCTGTTTAATTTACTCAACCCTTATGAAGAAATACTGCTGTCTATGTCCATTGACGGTTGTCAAATACAAGAAATATAATGTACTGTATATTTAAAAGTAAATTATGGATGTGTGAATCTACTGTATGCACTGTGTGCGATGTTATGGCTATAGGTGCAAAGTGTTATAAGCATTTTCTTTCTTTGTTCTATTCGGTGTGTCAAATATGAATTGTATATTTAAGTTGAAGATTTAGCATCTTAACATCACATAATTCTTCTGTTCTGATTCCTACAACAAACTGCAGTGAAGTTCACTGACAATATCAATCAGTCGTTTTTACTGCTTTTGATTCCAAAGTTTCCTTGTTGGATGGCACAGCACAATTTACAGAGTAGGGGACTAATAGCTAATATTGTTGTATCATGTGTTGTAATATGTGATCATATCTGTGATACGGAAATGTTTCCTTCCTGTTCTGCAGACGTTTGAACTCTGAACTGTACTTTCTTCTCACAGATCAGCCACTGGCCAGTAAATCATCTGAATGATGGCACACATGTTCATGCCGTGGTGCTAAAAAAGGTTAAGCCATTGGTACACACTGTTTCACCACAGTAGTTTGTCAAACATTATGTAATCAGTGAATAAACAAAGGATAAGTTCCTGCTTGGTCATTTTTTTTTCCTTTTGAGGGGCCTGTCTGTGTCACTGTGCCCTTCACCTCATAATCTGTTCATAGCTGTTGGATATTTGGGGTTACAAAAAGCAGTTATTTATTGATATTATTTCATATTACAATATTGGCATTAATTTAGGTTATTACACTGAATAACTGAATAAATAATGTAACTATCACAGTTTATTATTACCAAGAACCAGCACTTTAAATTTGAGTCAGATGTATTTTTACTCTTTTTTTTTTTTTTTTTAATACACATTTTACAAACACGCACCCTTCATCCACCCACCCCCACCTCCCTCTTACCAAGAGCAGACATAAAACAGGCCAATTAGTTTTGTTGCTATTCTTTTAGTTTTTGTTGTCACTGGAACTGTCTATTATCATGTGGATCCGAAAAGACTCCCAACGTGGGAAAGCTGATGAATATCCAAGTAAAAAATATTCACCATCATATCTGTAAAACTTTCAGTTTTATTTTGAACATTTTCTCCTCTTGACTATAGACAGCATCACCTCCACTAACCTCCACTAAGTGGCAGCACCAAGCAAGTCTGAGCAGGTTCAGCTATCAGTCGTATACTGTACTTACAGTCTTTTAAAAACTACATGAATATCCTCAGAGTTTTTGTTTCTGTCTCAGACAGTCACAGGAAAGTTTCATCTCTTATTGTGAGACTTGCTAAAAATCCCACAGCCATGATGTAATGAGAAAGTTTGATGTTGGAGTTGACGGAAACAGGAATAGGTACTTTTGTGGTGTACTACATGAGCATATATGGTCAGACAATTACAACTGTTCAAACATGGTTCGTTTAAATGCTCTCAATGACATTTGATTGAATGAATAATTGCAAAACTTTAAAGGTACATTCATAGCTACTATTACAAAGTAGAAGACTGACTCCCTGTCTGAGATCAATCATCATGGGTAAAACATAATTCAATCAATCCTAAGCAGTGACTGGGTAGGATAATACCTACTGGTGTCATTAGATGCTGCGCTTGTTTTTGGCACCCTGTCGCTATCTATATCACCTTAAGTACTCGAGGAGATCACTTTGGATATAATCCCATGTTGCACAGGAATAGATGTCTGATGCAAGCACAGCCTCTAGCGCAACAGTGCTGAGATAATCTGCAGGATGCACAGTCATGCTCGCCTGCTGCATAGGTTCTTTCCTTATTTTCTTGGCCAAGACACACACACAGACACACACACACACACACACACACACACACACACACACACAAATGACAAATATACAACCTTTGTGTGTGCATTTATTGTTTGATATGAAATAGATTTTTAGTATCTGATACCATGCAGAAAATGGAACTTTTTTCTCAGTTCCTGCATTTGCAACCTGACTTACTTCATCTACTACTTTACTGTCTGCTTGTCTTTACGTCAATTTTTTTTTTTTTTGGTTTCTCACAAGGACATCTTTTCTCGGTTTGTGCACACGGCCCATCCCCCACTTCCTCTTATTTCTCTTGGTGTGACTCTGAGGTTTGGGTTGTCGTGACAACAGAGGACACAGGCCCGTCTCTCTTCTATTTGCGAAGTTTCTGTTGTTGCAAGCATATTGCACATTTGCTGCTGGGATAAGGAAGAGCCTCACACCACCATCCCCCACCCACACCTTGTCAGAAACATGCAGGCGTGAATGAGTTCTCAGAAACATAAATGAGATATGAAACTCTTCCTGTAATCTATACAGAATATTTTAAACTTTGGCTTTGACATACTCCCTTTGCTACCAAACATTCAACAGCTCCAGCATCTCTAAAGTGAGCTTGCTCAAACTATAAGTCTGCTAAAATCTTTGATTTACTTTATCTTTTATCATTATGTTGCTACTTCAGGCAAAGTACCTCAATGCTGCATCAGTAAACGGTATGTTGTTCTGAGATAATTGGTGCACGTCCACATCAATTATTACTTGGATCAATATCTAACTGCTGTAGTGTCTGACTTCTTTAAAAGCAGGTGTCGCCTCATAACTGTACTGTATGCCCTTAAAAGGGATGAGGTCACGCTTGGCAGCAGTGGTGCAGTCTGCCTGGGCTTAATGGGGTGCAGGCTTTGAATTTGCATGTGTGACTGTGTGTCTGTTTGTGTGCATGTAGATGTGGAAAGTAACCAAGTACACCTAAAAATGTATCCTAAAAATACCTAAAAATTTAGCTTACTTATGAGTATATACTTTGAGTATTTCTAGGTTGTATTTTGTGTGTGTATATATACACACACACACACACACACACACGTGGTACATAAACTCATGTATACACATACATACACACACTCATATGTGTGTGTGTGTGTTTATGTATGTGTGTATATATATATATATATATATATAAGTTTTGAGAGTATATAATCCTCTGAAATATGTATTGGTAGAAGCACCTCTCAAAAGAATGTAAAGTAGTTGGATCTACATCCACATTCAGCAGTTACAGGTTCATACACAGAATAAAAAAAACAATATTTTTTCATATTTTACAACAAATAGTTCTTTACTTTAAAGAAACATATCCACATACTTATGTTTCATATACTGTTCCCACCATTGTGTGTGTGTGGGCATGCACAAACGTGTGTACATGCGCATACACTTCCCTGCATGTATAGTTTGTGTGTACGTGTGCATACATGTGTGAGTGTGTGACTGTTAGAGCTTTTCCTGTGTTAACCACGTGGTTCAGACAGGGTTAATAAAAAGATCACATTCACTTCTGGGTTTTCTTTCTTCTGTGGAGTCCAGACACTGGTAAGACCCTGACTGTGAGTGACTATTTAAAAATGTAATGATTGCTGCTTTTATTTGTTGTATCCTTCCAATCAAAATGCACTAAGATATACAAGAAATATTCATTTTTGTCTAATTAATGTCCTATCATTTTAGGCAACATTACTGTCAAATGTTGTTGGCACAGATTATGGCAAACTTATGTTTCTCTCTCATAACATTAGATTTTGGCATCTTGTGTAATATTTAATTTGTGAAAACTTGACTTTATTCAGCCCGTCATGACTTCGTGTTTGCGGTGGACAGACCAGGAGCTACTGATGTACAGTGTTGTCACCCATAAAGTAGAAAGCACTACTAAACTTCACTACACAGTGTAGTGTTTCCTACTTTATGGATGAGTACACTGTTTGCTGCAGAGGAATGTAAAAGAAGAAATCAACGAATGGTGTAACAGACTTTAAGATTTTTAGGCCAATCATGAAAACCTTCTGAACTTTGTTACTGCTTTTGTCATTTTATTTTGTTATTTATTCAAAAAAACATGACAATGGTGGTATGTGGTATATACATACATATATACATACCTACACACACAAAAATGCAGGTAGGTACTGTGCAAATTCATGAGTTTATTTTCACTTTGTTTTACAATTTTTGCATAGATAACATGATTGACACATTAATAATTTCCTTTATACAAACTTTGCTGTGAATTTTTGTACATAAAAATTGCTGCAAAACTCAACAAAAAAACTGATGTTTTCTCTTAATTGCTCCATATGAAAAGACTATGAGCCAATTATAGAAAATATATAAACAAGGTATAAGGCAAATGCTATTTCAATACACTCTGGTCTGCAAAAAAACTGAGACTATAAGTGTATTATTAAGGCTAAAAAAAAAATCTATCATTTGCCATCAGGTATGATTGAAATACTTGGCTCATTCATATTGTAATACATTTATGGATATACAGTATATAAGTTTTTTTGCAAATTCAGTCATTGGTTCATGTCATTTTTGTGCATGTGGCCAAATAAAAAGTGAATTTTAAACATTGTTTGATTTTTTAAAAGTATATGATTTGTAAATGTCTGTATTTTTTCTGCACTGATTTGTAAATTTCCTTAAAATTTTTCAATAAATGAATTATCTGAGAATTGTATGACAAGAACCGTTTTCACTTTGCATCATCCTGATTTCATTGTTAATACTGGTTTAATTGGTTGCTTATTTAAGTAGATCCTTATTGATTTGCCATTTAAAGCAGGTGCAGTGCTGTATTCTAATATAAAAATAAAAAATATACATTTTGACACAAAATGTCAGTTTAACCATTTGTTTTCAAAAAAAATTGCCGATTTCTCACTGTGTCCAAGACTTGGCATTTGTAGCGAACATCCTAGCGTGGCGTTTTCTAATCCCAGGGTAGAGGCTGCAGGAAGTTTGATGGAACCAAACCCCGTCGTCCATGCAGATCCCCCTAAAATTGAGATGAAAGTTAAGTTTGTGTGCAAATGTCAGTGTAAGAACTGAGCAGCAGTCACTTTAATGTAACTGTAGAGGTGACACTCACATAGTAAAATCCATCCTGATCCATGTCACCCATCACATATATGATGTCTCCTGAACGAAAGCCAAGTTCAACCTGTGAGAGGAATAGCCTGAGTCACAAAACCTTCTGTATTTTTAATACAGCAGATTAGTCTCGTACGATATGTAATCAGGTTCATGTGTGATTTTAGTGCTTACTTCACTGTCCATGTTGGGCGAACTTTCCCAGGGATCATAGTCAAATAAGGCCACCATTCGTCGAACAACCACGTCCTCAGGGATACTGGCTACGTCGCTCAGATCAGGCGTTAAAGACATACCTGAAGGCCCAAAAAACAAACACTCCTCTGAAATCACACATTAATGCTAAAATAGAAAATCAGTTTGCACATAGGTCAGTGAAAGCATCAAATCTGGTAATAACAGCTAACATACTTCAGTTAACAACCACCTTTGAGCAAATGCACTAAAAGAAACCATTAAGTGGTTAATTTAGTAACTTTAGTGACATGCACACACAAGGTTTCTGTATTGCTTTTACATCTTATTTGTTGGAGTATCTTTTGAGCTTTGTTAACTTCCTTACAGTTGGACACTTTCACACCAGGCAGCAGCTCAGAGCAAACAGCCTCTCGCAGATGATCAACTAGAGACCACCCTGTTTGACAATAACTGTTGAAGGTAGAGAGACGATTTTTTTTCTGTGATGATTTCTGTGTGTATTACACTCCTTGTACTGAAGTGGTGAAATGTTACCAAGGACATTTACCCCACTGCATTTATTTCACTTACTTTACAATTCAAGATTTTAAATACAAAACTTTGAACATTTAAAAATGTTTTATAAGAAATGAAACTGCCCAAAAGCAAATAGAAATTGAGATTAAACAGGAGGATTTATCGATGAGTTAAATAACTGATTAATAATTTTTCAACATCAGCTTCTCAAATATGAGGATTTGCTACTTTTCCTCATTTTAAATTACAGTATATACTGTATGGTATATACTATAGTATATATATATATATATATATATATATTATATAAACTGCATCATTTTGAGGTTTGTACTGCTGACATTTGAAGACGTCACTCAAAGCTCTGGGTAACTGAAATACTCATGCTTATGCGGTTTTTTACTATATTATACTTGTCCATTTCTTTCTCTTAATTTTAAGCATTTTCAGTGCAGAACTTTTATGTAACCAAACTTTTAGGTACTTGAGCACTTCAAATTTACATTTTATTATACTACATTTCAGAAAGAACTATACAATAGTAACTTTAATTTTACAAAACATATGATCCACTTCTACAATGAGTCATTATGACACATCAAAGCTCTGCTGGGATTTACCAATAAGAATGATAAAGTTGTAACTTGTACTATCGCAAACTAACAGGAGACCTACTGAAGTGATGAAATACTTTTGATGTTTTACAAGATTACGTGTGTACAACATATTGTCTTGTGCACACAAGAAAATCATCTTTGATTTAACACTGTTCTGCAAAATGAGCCCTTTCACTTTGGATACTTTAAGTGCCTTTTTCTGGTAATGCATCTGCACTTTTACTGAAGTAGAATTTTAGGACTTATTTTTACATTGTGGTATTGCCATATTCAATGAAGTGAACACTCTGAATATACTCTTCCCCCACTGCAGTTATGCTAATGTCTTACAGCACAGTGTCCTGCAGAAGCAAAGGGTTCATACCTGTGTGGTCCACAGGGAGGAATCCCTGCTGCATGAGTACATGCTTCAGGTACTCATCATCCACTGGGATCTCAGCCACCATATTACTTGGCACATAACCAGAGAGACCACCGGACTCCCCATGATAGAAACCATCAGAGTCTTTGTCTCCAAACACCTAACAAATGTAGAAAAAGTTAGTTTTGTACCTTTAATTTACACTTTGAAAGAAAAAAAATGCATGTTTGTGTATTTGCATGTTGTCAGGTTCAGTTAAAAGGCGGCAAATCACATTAAATCAGTTGAAAATTGAGACAGGAAACAGAAAAAAAAAAAAGAAAAGAAAAAAAAGCTCATATCTTCATACACTTTCACCTGGTTTGAATCTAGAACAAACAGGAAACACCATCGTACTGTTTCAGAGAAGCTTTTCAACTGATGCAGTGAGGAAATGCAACTCAAAACACGTTGTACCTGTGCACTGTACACGACAAGCACTGAAGTTTTACAGCACAAGAAATTACAAAAAGGGAAGACCTGTCACATTGTTTTTACCTTGATTATCTGGCCTGGAACAAAAGGCAGCTCCTCTGCAGCTGTCTCATGGTTGGGAGACATCGCAGCAGGGTTGTATGGGTAAAGTGCCACGAAGAGTCGGACGGTAGGTATGGACACCTGGCTCGCAGTCTCAAGTTCCCATTCTGCGAGTTCCTCCGGAGTAGGAATCCTCACTTCATCTGGGTATATCAAAACATCCAGCTCCAGACTCATCTCCATTTACACCAGTGCGAGCGCTCGACTGGCCACTTGGCAGACAGATGGCCGCTGTAGACAGACCTCTCTTTACCCTTATCCTAATTTGAGGTAACTAAGCTAAGCAGAAGGAACAGTAATCCTCTTTGGAGCAAGTGGATAGATTCATTAGTTCAGCACTGCCTGTTGCACTGTAAGACTCTGCGTGCAAAGTAATGGTTTTTAAAAAGTTGAAAGGAGGTTCTTGTGCTGAAAATGTCATTTTGTTTGTCTTAGATTGTGGTAATCTGATTAAGACGTGAATATGGTTCTTAAGTGTTTTCCACACATGTCCTACTACAGGCTTTATATTACTTTCCTATACCTATATATCAGTTGAATAAACTTACATTTCTACCATGTTTGTGCCTCTGTAACTTTGGTTCAGTATCTCTTACATTCATTTTGACTCTTTGGTTGTAAAATTTAAACTTACCATTCAAAGGAAGCCTTTTTTATTTTGGGTATATTATTTGTGGGTGTGTGCACATGAATGGGTGTTGTCTGGCAACAGCTTAAACACAACTTTATTTTACTAATACACTCCACATGAGATATGATGATATAAACTGAAAAATAAAAAAGGTCATGGAGTCTGATACTCTGGGCCAGATTATTGGCTAATAATGCACGTTCCACCTTTAGTGGTGCAAAAACCTTAACACAGTTGCAACTAATCAGTTTGCAAAAACCAGCTAAGATAAATGAACCTGTAGCTTTTTGGGCCCCTCAGAGTCTGGGGCCCCTGGGAAGTTGCTTTGCCTGGATGGTGATCCTGCTTTGCTAGGGCCTGTCAAATATTACTAAAGGGTGCATAATAAATACATTTTTGCCAAAACCTGTTTGGAAAACCTCTATTTCCTCAATGTGCATTGAAAGATAATCAGTTTTATTCCCAGTGATGAAAGTAAAGAAAAGAGTTATAAACCTTTGGTTTTCTAAAACAAATGTGTGTTTACATTTAAATAGATTGAGCTTAGAAAACAATTAAGTTAAAACATGAATGTGACAATTCATTAAAATTAAGCTTTTTTCCCCACAGGTCCTAGTCTTACAGGCCTGACTCTTGTTGATAAGAGATAAAATGGTAAAGAAGCTAAATTTCATACAACAAAAAACAAAAAAAACACTCAATTTCCATCTATAGTTCAAGTCATATAAGCTCAGTATTCATATAAATTTAACCATCAAGGCTTGGTTAAGTGTGAACCAGCAGTGTTTTGTTTGTTTGTTTTTTGTTTTCCTTCTCCTACCATGACTTGACCCAGTTTACACGTCACTAAAAGTCAACACTTCCTCTCTTGACCTCTGGCCAGGTCAGCAGGTGATAATCTCCTGCTGCAGAGGCAGACACAGGTTTAACAAATCTGTGCGTATGTGTATTGGATCAAGTGTTTGAGTGCGAGAGAAAGAGCCAGAAGAGTTGGCGAGAAAAACACAGAAAAACAGAAGAAAAAAAAAGTGGAAATTGGGGACAGTAGGGGCGGAAACATCCAATTGCATAGCATATGCTTTGAGAACAAGTTTTTGGTTTAGAGACTTTTTTTTTTTTTTTTTTTTTAAATATATTTTTATTTATCAATGAACTGTGTACAGTTTAAGCTGATAGCCACTGATTGTTTTAAGTTTTGTTCCTTCTTCTATCCACCACGTTTGTTAATGTAAAAACAAATAAATAAAGTCAAATTGTATTGAATTGTTTCCTGTCACTGAGTGGTTGTACTGGGTCAGTGCGCATTTATGAACCACTCACCTGAGAAACGGGTCCTTCTTGCCAGTTTCAAAAGACATTCCTGTGGTTTCACAAGCTTTTTCTCAACAACAATAAAGTCTTCTACTTTCGCACAGTTTACTGTCGAGCTTCTGTTTCATCAGATACTTTCATTTGCATTTTTGTCCACGAGAGGGAGCTGTGAGCAGCTGTCTGTAGCTCACTTTGCTGCTTTGGTAAAGACTGCTCACATAAACCAGTGTAAAACCATTTTAAACGTTTAAATGACTCCAAGGATTTACAGGTGCTATGTTATAAAACTGCTGCCTTTGATCAGTGGCAGAGGGAGTAGTAGTGAAAGTACCACTGTAAAAAAAAAAAAAAAAAAATACTGTATTCCTGTATGGAATATATTATTTAGGCAAACTTTATTATCAGTATAATGTACTAATGTAAGTATCAAAAGTAAAAGTAGAAAAACTGAATGCAGAGAAATGCCTCTTTCATTATGGATTAATATGCAGATCATTTTCTTGATCAATCCATTTATTGTTTGGTTTGTTAAATATAAGAAAATAGTGAGAAATGTGCAGAACAGTTACCCAGAGCTCTAAGTGACGTCTTCACGTGTCTTACTTTGTTCACACAATAGTTCAGTCCTCAAAATAACTCAGTTTACTGTCATCTAAGAGAAAGAAAACTGCCTTTGATGAGGTATGTTCTGCTCTCAGCATGTTCATAAAATAGCTGCACAAGCTCAACCTCACCAGCAGTTTGCTCTTTGCATCATTCACTTACCTATGACCTTGACAGGAAACGCTGTGATCTCAGGTTACAGTTCAGGGACGTTCTATGAGCTACCCTATAAAACAAAAAAGCAAAAAAAAAAAACATGAGTAAAAGAAGTAAGGAACATTTCATTCACTTTTATAATAAATTAATAATAATTTCAAAGCTTGGACTATTGGCTGGACAAAACAAACATGGTGACTTTGTAATTTAGGCAGTCAGTAATTGTGAAAGACATTTCTCTGTTACGGTTAGTACTAGGAAACAGGAAGGCCAAATGCAGACATAGATTACGCAGGCTGGAACAGTTCAGTAATTGTAGCAGAGATGGTGATGATAAAGGCTTACAGGCAGGTACGCAGTAGGTCAGGAGCTGGCACAAAAAAAAAATGCTACAACGTGCAGAGGAATGACACAACAATCTGGGGGAAGGCGGCTGATATATAAACTGCGAGCTGATTGGGGAATGGGAAACAAGTGAGGTGGGTGTGGGAGTCAGGACTGGGTGATTGGGGAATGAGAGACAGGTGAGCAGGTGGGTGTGGGAGTAAGGTGACTGAAACATGGAGGAAAGTGCGAGCATAAATGTCAGAATAAAATGTCAGAAAATATTGAAAAGGCTGAAAACATGTTGAGTTCACTGTCAAAACAGGCCGATAGTCACAACTGAGAAGCTGGCACCAGTGAACTAAAAAAAAACGATTAATTGATGTTTAAAATAAAAATTTCTGTCAATTAAATAAAATAATCAGTTATTTAATCCCTTGAGCACTGGCTGGTTCTTGGTGCCCAGACAAATAAAAAAAACTGCCAAGTACAGGACAGTGGAGGTCAGTTGGTTTCAAAAGGGGCACAACAACAAATTTTTCCCCTGGAGGTTAATTTGACCACGGCTACCACAGTCCAGATGGCAGAAGGTCTGAGCTGCCAAAAACGTTGAATCTTTTTTTTATTGTGCAGCGGCCGAAATATTTTCTATGGGTTTCCAAACATCCCTGGTTAATATCTTTCAGATAAACTGATGGTTCCTTCTATAATCCAAAAGTAAAAGAACCCCACCCCGTCCAGCCTGACCCATCTGTAGACATCTGATGAGCTGCTGCTGTTCATTGCAGCAATGCAGGCCCAGAGTGTTGGAGACTTTCTTCATGGTGGTCAAAATAAAGTGATAACACAGGAGCCAGAGAGAAAAAGTGGATAACTATTTGGTCTCCACATTCCCACAGCCGTGTGCAGAGCTCCTCATTCTCTAATGCCAACTTGAAAAGGCTGAAAAGGCAAAGAAAAAATGGCGACTGTTTACAATATGAACCACGTTGCCCAGCATGTGCAGTGGCCTCTGCAGGCACTACTCTCCACAGACTGTGAAGGTGATCACCATTATTAATCTGTGAAGCTGTTTCTGAACAAACTACAGCACCCACATTCATCCTGTGCAACAGCGTGGCTCAGTGGTGTAGTTTCTGGACAGTAATGGAGCTACTGGCACAGAGGAATACGATATATCACATCAAACACTCAATAGTATACATTCATTGTTGGTTTTGGTCTTTTCATAATGTTTGACATCTTCTAATGGCTATACTCCAGCATGATAATGTCACAAAGTGAAAGTCGCCTCAAACTGGTTTCATGAACATGACGTGTGTACTTCAGTGGCCTCCCCAGTCACCAGATCTAAATCCAATAGAAGACCTTTGGGGTGTGGTAGAACAGGAAATCTGCGGCATAAATGTGGTGCTGAGAAATCTGCAGAAATGATGCAACCATGTCCACATGGACCAGAATCTTAAACATCTTGTGGAATCCACGCCATGAAGAACTGAGGCTGTTTTGAGAGTAAAAGGAAGACCTATCCAGTATTAGTATGGTGTTCCTATTAAGTGCTCAGTGGATGTATATTCTAAGTAGCCCCCCCCAGTCAGTTTGTGCACACTCCTGGCTCCAGCATGCAGCCACACAGGACTCCGTTTCCCACAAGGCCTTTAGCCCAGGGCTGCTCCAATGCATCCAACCGTCCCCATACGCCTGGCCCCTCTGGTTCCCATGTATGGGGTGTTACATCATTGGCACAGACACCCACCTTTCTGAGTGATGACGCAGCCGAGGGAGAGTGTGTGAGGAGGAGTGAGGGAGGGAGGGAGAGAGGAAGGGAAGGGAAGGGAGGGAGGGAGAGAGGAGAGGAGAGAGGGTGTCCCGTCTGCACGGAGCATAGACAGACAGCAGGGAACAGCTGCAGCATTAGGCTCGCGTAGGATTTCACCGCATTGCGATTGAAAAATATCAATCATTTCATCCCCAAAACTCAAGCAGAGCAGCTCGACACAGCAACCAAACATCATCTGAAAAATGGTTGATCGCGAGCAGCTGGTGCAGAAAGCCAGGCTGGCTGAACAGGCTGAGAGATATGATGATATGGCAGCCGCTATGAAATCGGTAAGTTCATTCAGAAAAGATGATAATTGTGACTGAGAGGTGTGTGAGTGATGTTTTATCACTGCTGTGTTTGCGTAAAGGCTCGTCCCGCAATCTGGATTACGTTGCCTGTAACTGTGTGGAGAGGGGGGGTAGGTGGGTGGGTGGGGGGGGTTACATCGTGCTATTTATTGCACTACAATCAGGCATAATAGTAAAGTAATATTTCATGTGTTTATTGTCTTGTCGCCAGTTCATCTACAGCCCACTGCCCTTTTTTCTTTTTTTTTTTTTCTTTTTTTCTTAACGAGTGGAGTCCAAATCGTCTGCTCCTTGGGCGGTGCCTTTCTGTCGGCCGTGCCGTTAAATGAGGGGATATTACAGTGAAATGCATACAGGCCTAAGCTTGATCCCTCAGTTAATAAGAAGCTCGTTTCATATAATGGCTGTGCTCTGTTGCATTTACTGCCCCCCCCCCCCCCCCCCCTCTTCACTTTACCACCGCACCTCCCCTCCCTCCATTATACCGAATTTATAAGAGCCTCTGCCGCTGGGAGCCATGTGAGGTTGCTCGGAAAAAACCTATCAACTGCTGCTGCTGCTGCCCCCTCCTCCTCCTCCTCCTCTTCCTCCTCCTCCTCCTCCTCCTCTCCTCTTTGTCACATTTATTAAAATCATATACATTATCAGCATCTGCTTATTCAAGACTTAGAAGCATTTTTTTTAGTATGACTGGTCTGATAAAAATACTCCATAAAGATTCTTTAAACTGCTCTTTCCTCTAAACAAACGTAGGAGGCAGTAGAATCTCTAGAATATTCTTTGTCATATTGCAGTGAGTCAATATGATCAGATTGGATTTGTAGGCTTTTGTCTTCTCCTCTCTTGACCACTTTACTCCTCATACTTGCTCATGTCTCAATCTGTGCATGTGCTGTTTCCGTGTCAAAGCAGATTCCTCCTGACATCCAGCAGCAATTTGAAGTCATTTTGGGTTAATGAGCCTGACTGACTGCAATGTTTGATGCAAAGAGGGTGACACGGGTGGCCTGTGTCACAGGAGCTTTCTCAGCTCTTATTGGGCAGTGCTGAGGACATAGCCTTTATCTGCTTTTCTTTTTTTTTCTTTTTTTCTTTTCCGCTCTCTCTGTCCCCTTAAGAAATTCTGGGAACTGGATTCACCAGTGGGTTAAAAAAAAATTGCTGTGTCACACCAGCTCTTACTGGCACCAGTAGCACCCTGGGAGTCTTAGCTGGGCCTGTATGAGCTCATATACAGATCAAACTCATCATACTTGCTTTAAATGTCCTCATTTAAAGCAAGTATTTTCTCTTACGTTCCTCAGGAGAGATGAAGTGAGCCCCCGTGGATCGTTTGTCATCGAGGGTTTCTGGTTGCAGGAGGTGGGATGATGTGTGTGCAGGGAGGGATTCCTTTCCCTTTAAACAATCTGCCATGTCAGTGCGGTCCAAACTAGGCCCTTTTGCAGGGGTGTGTACTCTCACTCTCTAATCAAAGGGAATCCCTTGCCATTGCGGCCAGAAATGACAAACGATAGGCCGTCACCTTTGAATTCCTCATGAAAAGTATATACGTAGATTAATTTCACGTTAACAGCCTCTAATGCAGCTTTTCAGACAGACTTTTTTTTTGTGGATATTCTGGTGCTGCAACTAAAGATTATTCTCCTTGTCTATTTATGCCTTGATTTTTCAGTCCAAAATCCAGAGATATTTTGTCGACTATTATAGAAATTATAGAAAACCAGAAAATATTCACATTAGGAAACTAGTAAAATTAGGGAATTTTTGCCAGTTTTGCCAAAAAAAAAAAAAAAAAATCCAAAATGATTGACTAACTATCAAAGTAGTTGCTGATTAATCAATTTAACTGGACAAATAGTTTCAACTCTAAATTTGCATGTTGGTTTTTTAGCCCCAGATGAGGATCTTGGTAGTTATAGTCTTGTATTATAATTAATATCAGTGCATCCCATAGAATATATGATTGAGCAGTGACGTATTTCTGCCAGCCAGTGATGCATTTTTAGCAATTCATTTTATGTATATCAACATAACTCTATGCCAGTTGGCACTGTAGTAATTCCAGTCATCACTTCAGGTTTGTGTTGCAGTTTTGGGGGGACAGATAAATCTCGTTAGGTTGAGCGCTCCTCTCCATCCACTGACGTTGGGGAACTTGCGCCGTCTTTGTGCACCTCCGCTTGAGCGGAGAGTGTCAAAACTGAGTTACGAGAAATGTTAGCACATTGAGGAGGAGATTTTCAGATTAAAAGCACTCTCAAGATGAAAGGTTATGTGAAAACTGAGCTACATAGTTCTTTATTTTTATCCGTATATTCCAGGCCCTGTGCAGTTATTGATCTGACAGAAGGCACGTTCCAACACAAGGTTGCTTTTCCAAATCAAATAAGCCTGAGTAATACAGCCTTTTTATAGCAACAGAGTCTCTTTGACAACAACTGGACTACCATCCTGATCCGTCAAAATCTAAGTTTAACAGTGGAGCTCAGAGTGATGTCACAACGTGGTGTTTTAGACAGGTAAAAAGGTCAGTTTCAGCCGGAGAGAAGGTCACTGGGACACGTGAACCGCCTGTGCAGTGATGGTTTTCATTTACAGTGCAGCTGCCCCCAAGTGCTCGTAGGAGCATTTTAGCCATCTCCAGCACTCCTTTCAACCCCCCCCCCCTCTCCCATTCACCCTCACCCTCTCCTCCCATCCACCGCCCACCCCCCACTCCCCAGCCCCAACTGCAGTCGACTATCTTGAATATCGTTTCTCACTAACTAGCATTAGCTGTCCACGTGACAGCTGGAGCTACTGGTGCACTAAATGAATGGATTGCCATGGAAACTGGGAATTGCACATGACAAGTGAAATATTGCTCATTTTCTGTGCTGGGGATTGTACTGTTAGTCCAGAGTCTTTCATGTAAAAAGACAGAAAAGTGAGTGTCTTGTAATTATTAGGCCAGCAACTAATAATTATTTTCAATATCTGTCGATCATTTTCTTGATCACTTGATCACAGACAGTAGTTGGGAGATGACAGGAAACAAGGACAAGAGATGCAACAAAGGTCCCCGGCCAGATTCTGTCAGGGGATGTTGCAGTTCACGGTTGGCCCCAAGCCACAGGGACATCTCAAAATTGCTTTTATTTTTTGGGGTCCAAAGCCTGAAATTTCTGCTGATTTATTTTCTGTCGACTGATTAACTGTTTAAACTCTTGTAATAATGCTCTAATGCTTAGATGATATGTTGTTCCATTCCTTTTTGTATAACGTGTAGGCAATTTGGTGCTGTTGATCACAGCTTGTGTTCCTAATTGGTGGCTAAAGTTTCCCCTTTCTCCTTCCTCCAGGTAACAGAGCTGAACGAGGCCCTGTCCAATGAGGAGAGGAACCTCTTGTCTGTGGCCTACAAGAATGTGGTCGGCGCCCGCCGCTCCTCCTGGAGGGTGATCTCCAGCATTGAGCAGAAGACCTCGGCCGACGGCAATGAGAAGAAGATTGAAATGGTCAGGGCCTACAGGGAGAAGATTGAGAAGGAGCTGGAGGCTGTGTGCCAGGACGTGCTCAACCTCCTGGACAACTTCCTGATCAAGAACTGCAGCGACACGCAGCATGAGAGCAAGGTGTTCTACCTGAAGATGAAGGGCGACTATTACCGGTACCTGGCCGAGGTGGCCACTGGGGAGAAGAGAGCCACCGTGGTGGAGTCGTCGGAGAAGGCCTACAACGAGGCACACGAGATCAGCAAGGAGCACATGCAGCCCACCCACCCCATCCGCCTGGGCCTGGCTCTCAACTACTCTGTGTTTTACTACGAGATCCAGAACGCCCCGGAGCAGGCCTGTCATCTGGCCAAGACCGCCTTCGACGACGCCATTGCCGAGCTCGACACCCTCAACGAGGACTCCTACAAAGACTCCACTCTCATCATGCAGCTGCTCCGAGACAACTTGACACTGTGGACAAGTGACCAGCAGGATGACGAGGGAGGGGAGGGCAACAATTAAAGAGAAACCACACTTCGAAAAAATTATGAAGGGCCGGTGGACTTTGGCAGCCGCTTTTGCCGATGATACTACCGCAGCAGCAGTTCTTTATTTTTCCATGTGTTAAAAGAAAAGAATCAAAAGAGAGGTGAGAGTGGAGGTTAAATCTTAGTTTAAATATATATAGAAATATATATACAGTTGAAAGGGGCCTCCGTCTTCTTGATTTTCTCTTTGACATTTGCCAAAACCACTGATATGTCAGTCAATCAGCCTGAAGTGGTTGTTGTTGGATTGAAATGGCAGCCTCACACTGGCATAGGAACTGATCTTGTTCTGTCAAGACAAGCTGCTTAGTTAGGTTTTTGCGTGATAGAGATGCATTTGAGTCACTTGAGAGAGAAAATGCTTGAATGGGAATGCCTCACAAAACTAGTTTGCATTGGTTCCAGCCGTAGTCTACATATGAGAAAGGGCCCTGAAAGCCATGGGTGTTAAACTCACACCAACAACGAGAAAAGAGAAAGTTTTAAACTGATAAAATCCCCCAAATTTTAAAAGGATAAATTGCACAGGAGTGAAAATGAGGACTGGTTAGACAAAATTTATTCCCCGCCTTCTGTCTGAAGTGTATTTGGCATCTCACAGATTAGTCTGTTTTGTCACTGGAACCATTGATTCTTTTGGAGGTGAAGATTACTAAAGGCAGAGACTTAACAATATAAAACAAAAAATGACAAAAAAAATAAAATAAAAGCAGCTTCAGAGTTTGTGGTTTACTTCTGTGTTTGTTTTATTAAATGCACTTGCCTACTATACTGTTTCTTCAGTGTAAGATGATGACAACAATAATATCGATTATTCAATATTGTGCATGCTGGTGATGTATTTATATACAGTAGCTTGACTTTATTAACTTATACTGTGGGTGTTAAGTATTCATATGATTGAGAAAAACAGGCTTTGTCTGATGTTGATTTCTAATTTCTAATTTATTTCATTTTGTTATGGTTTTTGATTTGCTATACCAAAATGGTGATCGTAAAAATTGACCTGTAATGGGCGTTGCTATAGTGACATGCAATATGTGTATTTAATTTGTTAATGAAAGAAAAAAAGGAAGATAAAAACCCACCAGTGATCACTTAATCTTACCAGCTGGTGTTTGTCACATTGAAGTATGATTATGATATATTTTGTTCTTTGAACAGTATTTAAGTACTTTTTTCTGTCATGCTATCCAGTTTTAATAATGGTGAAGTTTTCAGGCTCAATGTTTCTGTTATGATTCACAAACATGGACCATATTTTATTTCTGACAGTATACTTCTTTTTTTTTTGTTTGTTTGTTTTTATACCTTTTAGCTGTTCCTGAGTGACAAAATATCTTGAATGTGAGTCATTATGTAGCAGTTGCACAAGAACCGAAATAATAGCTATGATAATAAAAAAGAATATGACTAAATTATACATGCACCATTTCCGTGGTGGTCTAGTGTATTGTTGTATCGTCACCCGTATGAAAATTTGTTTTGAAGGAAAAACCATTTCATAGAAAAAAAATGTTATAACGCTTTGTTTTGTGCCCTGAGTACAGTTTGTGCTTTCTTTTTGTGCCTGTATCATTATTTGCCTCATTTGCAAAGTTAACCTTTACAGAAAAAAGGATTTATCTGCCAGTATTTTAAGTTTCTGCAAGCACGTCTGCAAGGTTTAACATTTTCCCTTCAATGGTTCCTCACTTTTACATGTGTCTGCTCTCTGTACAGCACATAGATATGAATATTCAACACCAATGCACAAATACAGTCACAGGGAAAGCATATAGGCAATTCACGAGAATTGGTTATTGATTAGCAAAATGTGAGACTTCACGTCTTCTGAACAAACTTTAGACACTAGGAAGCTGCTTAAGAGCACAGAAAGCTGCTGAACAGATTTTTCTTCATAATGCTGCTAGTTCTATAGATTATTACATTAATATATTCATACAGATGGCAGTTTATTTTTCCTAATCGGTGGCAGTTTTGGGGGACAGTTTTATTTTTTATTTCACATGTGATGGCTTAAGAGAGAAACCAAAAGCCTTAAGGTCAGTCACACACCCTTGTTCACGTATGCCAATTATGTCACCATGATGAGTCAGCCTCCATGAGCTCACACTGTATGTCACAGCTGCTTTGATTTATTTTTAACGTAGTATAAGGTTGATGGTCTTGAAGGCTCGCCAGACGAATTGCATGAAATTCTGATGCCAATCTACACAACTGCTCACACAGATCCTAAATATTAGAATGGAGTTGAATCCTACACAAGTCATGTGTGTTACAACGAGTGGAAACTGAATATTTCTCTCACTTTTTTTTTGTTTGAATATTTTTTGCAAAACCATGTCAGGAGACTTTCACTCATTGCCAAGAATACATGCATTATTTTTTTCTCTGTGGTTTGTGTTTTATTTTTTCATTATTTCAGATGTTGATCTTTGTTTCTGTGACATGAAAACATACAAATACAAGATCTGAGGAAAGAATTAGATTTTAGAGCTGACCTACTGGAAATTAGCAAGGATGGGGAGGGGGTGGGGGTGTGGTAGCTGAACATGGGATACAAACTGTATGCTCTGAGGAATTTTTGGTTGCCATCTGTTGCCCATTAAAGTTATTTGTTTATCTGTATTATTCTATATTTTCATTTCTCTCTGTAATGTAGCCATTTACAGTCATACCAGAAACACCACAGCTCATTCCTTTTCATTCTGTAAGTTCATGACTGAGGAGATTTTCAACATTTCTGTTGAGTTTTACGACCCACACATTGATACAGGAAGTCAATATGACCTTATGTAACCCTTTGTGGGTCATGTTACTGGTGTATGTGTGGTATGCGTGAGTGTTTGCATCCATATCTGGATGGGTAGTGTGTGCTGTATATGCCTGCACCACTGCATGTGTTGGGTGTCTGTGGGTGAACGTATGAGATGGAGTCTGTATCAGCTGCAGTGCAGAGACACTGCCAGCTCACACAACAACTACAGTATGTCTTAAATGAGGCTCTTTTTAAGGCAGCTTTGCTAATCATCAACTGAATTAGGCCATAGATCAAAGAATGTTTCTGTGCTTCAAAAGACAACAGATTTTTATAATCACAGCAGAAGCGCGCTGCAATAAAATAAAATCCTGCACCTCATGATGGACAATGGAAGGAGAAACTGCATCTTTTAAGCATTTAGATTTACATTTACACGGTATCTTTACACCCAAAGGTCGAGTTTATCTGGGTAATTATGCATATCCGTGTGTTTCAAACTGACAGTCGAGCCCTCACATTGATTGATAAGCTGAAGTGCCAAGCTGCTGGACCGCCCACCCTCAGACTGCAGCCTCTTGCTGCAGCTTGCTGCACTGAACCTTTCATGAGATGAAATTCTGTGCTTTGAACGGTCCTCCTCGCCAGCCAATAGCTGACAGGCACACTCTCCGCAGCCACCAATCCCGTTCCTGTTGCTAGGGCTATAATAAGTATCCCTCTATTAGTCTGGCTCCTTGCTGCACTGCTCAGACACCTATTGCATCCTGTAAAAAATGAGAGCTTAAAGCACAGGAGGCATTAGGATTCAGCACCAACCTATCTTCCACCCTGTGTTTTAATGCACTGCTACACTTTCAGGGACATTGGTGTCATCTTTATTGGTAAATGTTGGTGACATTACGCATCCCAAGATACACTGTGGCCTACTGATTGACATGTAATTGAATCTCCAGCAGCTGTAAATTCAATTTAGCACTGTCCATGTCAAATTAAAGTAAAACTAAATAGATATTTCTCATGAAATAACATATAATTCATGCTGTTTACATTAAATATACGTATCCTGTCAAACCAGTTTATTTCATAGATGTAACCTACATCCCTGGAGAAGATTACGTTATGCAGATATGCACAAAACTGAAAATTGCTCTGCCATGCTTCAATTCAACTTATACACGAACTGCTCTGTCTGATCACTTTCATCGCATGGAGCATTATTTCCCCGAGGGAGGCCAGGATGACAAGGCACAAGTGCTCATCAAGCCATAATTATGTCACCCAAAGGCGAACGCCCTCTAAATCACCACATTGAATTCCTCGTTAGCATCAGTGGACAGCTGCTGTGATGCCACTTTTCAACAGCATCTTTTTTTAAAAGGTCCCGATGATGTAAAAGAAGTGATTAAAAATAAAATGTGGAAGCCAGGTATATTTTGAAGATGGTACAGGTATGGTTATTTTTGTCCTCTTTGAATTTTATGCGCTCTTTCAAGATTGTAAAAGGGTAGTTGTGCGCACATCCCTTCCTCTTTTTAGGTCAGGTAGAGGAAAACAGATTCACTGAAGGGAAAATGAAGAGTCCATATGCCCTGGACTCAAAGACATCGTCCCACATTTTGTGAAATATGCTCACTTCCTTTCTTGCTGAGACTTAGATGAGAGGATGGATACCACTCTCATGTCTATTTGGTAAATAAGAAGCCACTGCCAGGAGCCGGTTAGCTTAGCTTAGCATAAAGACTTGAAACAATGCAAATCAGCTAGCCATGTTTGGTCTGACAGTCACAAAATCTATCAGCAAATAAAGTGCTTGTGTCTTTCAGTGACTTTCTGAAAATAATTACATTTTGGGTTTTGTACAGCTGAAACGGAGATGCAACATGTCAAGCTTTAGGTGCTCGTTATCACATTTTGTTAACTTCAGACAGAGCCAGCTGTTTCCCTCTTTTTCCAGTTTTTAGGCTAAGGCTAACTGGCCACTAGCTGACACTTCACATTTATCATACATATATCAAAGTGCAGTCGATCTTCTCTCAAAACTATTGGAAAGAAAGCAAACGTGTTTTTAATAAAATGTCAAAGTATTCCTGCTCCCAAAACTTAATTGTACTGAAAAAAAAGCTATGATTCGACCTTGTCTTTTGTCATGTTAACTATTTGCCTGCTTTTTCAGTCCAATGAAGTCAGTGTAAAAATACTTTTTTCTAACTTTCTACTACTTTCTAACTTTCAAGGTTGTCCCAAATTGTGCTTTTTCCCCCTTCTTCTTAGTTTTAGTGGACTTTTTGAAACATCACTCAGTCCAGCGAGAGGCAGATTTTGATAGAAAAATGTCCATCTTTATTCCCTGAAGCCCTAACAGCTGTTTTTGTTTGACCAGCTGTTGAAGCTGAAGTTTTTTTTTTTAATACAGTTTTGATTAAAAATGATTCAAACAATAAATCAGTTATTGAAAGTGGTACATGTTCATTTTCTGTCAATCAACTAATTGATTAATCATTTCAGCTGTAGTGTCCTGGTTGGTTTCTGCATGCCTGAAACTGCCATGCAGTGAGGGTCAAATTTTAGCCCTGGGGGCCCCTAAGAGGTTAATCTGACCATGTCTGTGACTCAGGCTTCTCACACTCATCACTGACCCATTCATCATCAACCAAACCTCAAGGCTGTTGTGGGTAGTTCTGGGGCTCTGGGGCAAAAGTGGCAGCTGTATGGACTAGACAGTGGATGGCAGCAACAAGAGAACAAGTTTGATTTCACATATTTCCTGAAAGAATATTTTGTCTAACTTTAAAACAGGATGGATGGCAGTCCACATCCAATCAGGTGTTAGAAAATAAAACCTTCAATCACTATTCTCCTGCACTGAGATCAGACACGATGAGATTGTATTTTTACGTAGCACACCACAGCACACAACACACACTGATAAAAACAAACGAACACACGTCGGATTTTGAAAAGTTTATGATCCGACTCAACGTGATCTGCACCTCAAAGACGCAAAGAAGATAATAGCTGTACAGCTCCAGAAATATCAACCCATTAGAGGGAGAAAAGAGAGATGGAAAGAAAGAGGGGACCGATGTAGAAGCAGAGAACAGAGACAGATCTATAAATAGGCCTCCCTGCAGCCTGTGAGTAGACAGTGAAGAGACCAGAGACATCAATGTGACAGCATCTCCACTATAGAGACTATCTGCTTCTGTATGGACCATGGGAGTTCATATCTTCAGTTAAGAGTCTGATTCATCATGTTTTACCTCCCGCTGAGCAAACAAGTTACATGACATGAAATTACACAGGTAATACTTACAATCAACTCTGATATCTGAGCTTTTCCTAAAGTCCACGTTTGTTTTTTTTTCTCGCAGCATTAAGTTATGATAAGACAAAGAGCACTGCTGACTCTTTCAGGCACAAAGACAGCTGTTATGCATGGCTGCAGCAAAATGAATTATTCAGGCTAACATTTAGACTTTGTATTATTTATCAAAAAGTGCCACAACGTTCAGCTGAAGGTTTTAAGAGACTATTTTAGGGAGCATTTGTCCCAAAACATTGCAGGATACATTGCATCTGTTAGAAAAGCTCTCCATCTCCATCAACACTGCTGTCTTTTCATTTAATTATTTGGCTGCGTGCTTATTGCTAAACTTA